GGGCTCAGGCAATCCACTCACCTCAGCCTCCCAAAGGCGCGGGATTACAGGCTGAACCACCGAGCCTGGCTTGCATACCCTTCTTAATGTAATAAAATTATAAAGTATATCCTCGGGGTAAAAAATCAACATTGATAAACATATACAGTAAGCATGCATACAATTCCCTCAGAAAGCTGTAAATGGAATTAAGAAGGCCCTCATGTTAAAATCTATTCTAGATCATTTGAGGCTCTGGTTCATTTTGTAAACTTGCAAGTACTCAACACAATTATCTTCATATGTATCTTGTTCCTGATGTACAGACATCCACATCACAATAATGACAATTTTTTTTCTCATTCTGTCACCTAGGCTTAGAGTGCAGTGGCACAATCACGGCTCACTGTAGACTTGACATCCTGGGTTCAGGTGATCCTTCTGCCTTAGCCTCCCAAGTAGCTAGGACTAAAGGTACATGTTATCACACCCAGCTATTTTTTTTTTTTTTTTTTTTTTTTAGAGACTAGGTTTTGCTATGCTACCCAGTCTGGTCTTAAACTCTTGGGCTCAAGCAGTCCTCTCACCTCGGCCTCCCAAAGTGCTGGGATCATAGATGTGAGCCACTGTGCCTGGCAACAGTCACTGTTAACTGAATATTTATGACCCGGGGTGCTGTTCTATGGGTTTCATGTATATTAATGCAACTCACTCTAATCATAAGCCTATTTTCAGAAAGCTCAAAAAGCTAAGGAGAGGCAGAAAGAGGATTGAAACCCTGGTAATCTACATTTTAAGCCTGGTCTTCAATCCTATAGACATGCATCATTTCATGAAGAAAAACAAAACTCACCTGAACCTTTAAGATGTGTAACAGTTCTTCCTCCTCAGGGATGCCTTCTTGCTACAATGCTGGCCTGGGGGAAACAAAGATAACAGTGAGACAATAGGGCCTTTTTGGAGTGAAGGCAACATGAGAAAATATCCTCCAGGACCCAAGCCCCCAGACCATACCCAGAACCTTTTAGAAATGAGGGCCCTGAGATGTGAGTTTCTGAGATTCCTGGACTGTGCTCTACACTGAGTCTCTGAAACAGGGGATTGCCCCCTCCATACCTCTCCCTCGGGGCCTTTCTCTCTCCCCGACTGTCTTTGCCCTTCTTGGTTATTTTCATGACAGAGTTCAGGTCCTCCTGTTCCTTTGTAGCCACTGTCCTCAGGTGGGTGCCACTGGCTGGGAGGAGACCGTCACACACACCTGGCTCGCCCAGAACGCCACCCACCCAATCACCCAGTCCCCAAGCACAAACCTGCACCAGCCACAGCCTCCCGGCTGCACACGCTGTCAAGGGACACAACTCTGCCCTGTCACACCCACCAACATCCACATCCGAGCCCTGACAACCCCACAGAAAAGACACATCTGCAGCCACGGAGACACATCTGGCCGTGCCATCCCCACAGAGCCCACGGGAATGTACCTTCAGGAGACACTGTCGCCCCTCGGAGGCTCACACGACTCGAGCTGCGTCACCCCCAAAGCCTCCAGAATGCTGGTGTCGCGGTGTAAAGCGCGCCCCACTCTCTCTCAAGCAAGTGCGTCACACGGTTGAGCGCCCTGCGCAGGTCGCCCCACCGAGCCCGCGTAGACACGGCTCCTGCGTCACCGATGCAGATGCTCACTCACCCCGCATGGCCCCGTTGCCCAGTGACGCTCGCTCGCACACCTGTGTCACAATTTCGCGGACAGAGGCGGTCGCGTCACCCTCGCACACTCCCACGCAAGT